TGTTGTTTATTTCAATCGCACCTTGTGTTGAAGGATATTTTAGTGACAAATGCTGCAGATGTTTTCTACAAATGCTCCCCATTGTGTGGTTTCATGAAATTCTGGTCAAGCGACACTGAAACTAGTAATAATAATAATTCTTGCATTTGATAATTGCTTTTCATGTCTTCTAGACATCTCAGAACACTTCACAGAATAGACTGTAAAGTAAATTGACTGTATATTTGTGGGCGAAACGCAGTAGCCAATTACGCACAGCAGTGTCCCACAAACAGTTGTGGATTAAAGTGACCGATTTATTATTTTTTTTCTTGGGAGATTATTATCAGGCATATGGACTAAGGAAACTTGCCCAAGATTTTGCCCTGCCGGGAATTGAACCCAAGTCTCTCGCTTGCGATGCGAGTGCTCTAACCACTGAGCTACAGGATTCCACAAAATGGCTTTAGAACTATCAGATCTTAGGGCCAATGAAAAGGGCGGCCTATTTATTCATTCACACAGTATCTACACTGCCAATGCAGTATAGCACAAACAAATTACTACTTTTTNGTTTGCGTGTGTGTGTGTTTGTGCACATGGCTAGAATTTTCTAGGTGAGGGATGTCAGGTGTTGACATACTTCTTATCCTCCGACCAACTCCATGACATGTTTCCCATCTAGGCAGCGTCCAGCCTAAACACTCTTGCCAAAAGCTGCAGTGTAAGCAGTTCTTGGAATGTGTGTCCAGGAGTGCAATGGGTTGATTCTTCTAAATTTCCTTCCATGGACCCTCCCCTGCTTCCCTCAAAAAATCTGGCTGAAATATGAAATAGGTAATGTAAATTTAAGGGCTTATTACCCCCGGAAAAGTGATCCTCCAATCGACCAGGTTCCTTGACCAGAATTTCATGTTATACAGCGGAATGTCATTAGATAACATTTCCGTGTTTGCAGATTTCACTTCTTTTTACATTGCAAAACTAAGGTGCAGAGGAAAAACCAAGCATCAAAAGAAATAAAACAACCAACAACAATTTGCCTTCATATAGCGAATGTGGCAGCCAATTTGGGCACAGCAATGTCCCACAACAGCCATGACGTGAATAATCAATGTTATCTGGGAATGTTGATCAGCTTGACACATTCCTATTATTGCATTGAGTATCAGCCTAGATTAAGTGAGTGCAATGTCCCAAAATAGTGCTTGAACCCATAGCTTTCTGATCCAAGAGGTAAAAGTGCTACCAATGTGCAGCAGGCTGATGCCTAAAGCATAATTAAATAAGCTTCAGATATTGGTTATAAGAAGCACAATCTAAACACAAACACAAGAAACTAATAGCTTAATATCTCCATAACATGTGCTGAAATATTAAAATAGTAATTTCCAAGACCTGTTTTAATAATGTGATGCAGTGTAATGAAAAGCATGTTACCTGAATTCTTTTTAATGATGTAGTAATTAGCAGGTAGAATTTCAGAAGGAAAGGACCACTCTTCCAAGGAACTTATAATATTCTCTGAACTACAAAGTAATGCTGCTTCAAATATTTCACCGCAGGTCTCAGGAGACCCAGATTTCCTTATGGGATTTGTTTGTGCATAAAAATCATTTGGTTAAACAAACATTTTTAAAATAAATCCCTACCTTTGACTGATCCATTGACTCTAAAGAAATATTTGGATGCGTCAGACATCCAATTACAATATTAAAATGAAATTGTTTGTTCGCAGGTGATCTCTTGGGTGACATTTTTCTAAATGGTCACCTGACAACAATTTATTTAGAGAAAAGTAAAAGGCTCACTTTGGAACCAACTGCTAGATAAAGCACCAGGTATGATCATCCTTAGTAAAACACTATCACAAGATTGATACAGACGAATCTTGTGATAAAGCCATTTGATCAGATCCTTCGGAATACCCCATTCCAATATTTTCCGATCACAGAATCAAGCCATTCCTTAAATGAGTCCTGTGTCCTGGCCACAACTATCTTCCTGTTAACTCTTTCCAGCTAAAATTATCCTGTGTGTAAAATATTTTCTGCTGTCTGGTAATATTAAGCCCTTCGTAACTCTAACCATGTGCCCTCTTGTTCGGCTGCCTTGGCTTATCCGGAAGTATTGTTATGGGTTTACTTTCTCTATTTCCATTCCTGTATAATTTCCCGTGAGACCTTTCTTTTTCAAGATAGAATGCCTTAGCTTGTCTATTTGTCCCTGATAGTTTGCTCTCAAAATATACAGTCAATTTACTTTACAGTATATTCTGAGATGCCCTTTGAGATGTCTTGACGACCTGATAAGGCGCTATATCAAATACAAGGATTATTATTATCCTTCTGACAGTGGGGATCAGTCTCATTGCTCTCATTTGCAAGTTCAATCTCATCCATAAAATACAAGCATCTCCTACTTTTATTTCAAATATGTAATAACCGGTTTTGAATTGCATTGAAACAGGTGCTTGCCCAGTTCCAATCAGCTTGATATCATCTGCAAATGTAGTTACTTTGCTCCTCGCCTGCAAATCCAAGTCAACAGGAACCAAATGAGTCACAGTCCAATCTTGCTCTGAAGGCAGCCCATTCAATACATCCCCCTATTTTAATCTAGTTCCCTTTGTGGTGATCTGATCTTTCTGTTTAGCCAATTCACAATCTACTACATCCATGTTTTACCCTTGACACCCAACGGTAGAAATTCCATCCGTTCAGATTTATTCATTCAACGTAGCATTTCAGTGTACGCAATAATTTCCAAATTGTTGAAATCAGTTTTAACTTTGAAGTCAGTTTTCTGTAGTTCTTAAAAGAAACTTGCAACAAAGTGGTTTCAAAATTAGAGATTGCATGAAATTATATATATTTTTAAAAATCACTGTTAAGAGATTTATTCAGTGCTCAAGCAGATTAAAGTATTTAAGATTAAGGAGACTGACTGAACTGTTGAGGTGGAATATAATAACAATAACAATTTCTCAAATGGGAGAACATAGCAAAGCAAATTTATAGAACATCTCTAACCCTTGCTAAATTGCCATTGGTGCCAATGATGTGATTAATTAAAGCCTGAATTCTTCCACAAAAAATAAACTCACTTCAATTACTAAAAAGAAACAATGGCTCCCTGGACTGGGATGGAGATCGCTATCCAGCAATATCCTGCTGGAAAATCCGTCTGGGTGTACAGCTGCTCGGATGCCAATATTGTACTGAAACAGTTTGGATTCACATATGACCTCCTTCCCATGCGCGATCCCAGTCTGTTTTAGTTAGTGATTTATAACAATAAACCTTGCATTTGATATAATGCGTTATCTCATCATTGAGATGTGTCAAAGTGCTTCACAGAATATACTATAAAGTGGATTGATTGACTGTATTTTGTGGGTGAAATGGATTTCATCAACAACAGAGCATTTATCAGTCAGTAAGCTCTGATTGGAAATAGCTTGGAATGACATTTTGGGTTTTGGTCAAATAACCCCCCAAAAATCACGTTATGACTATGCTAATCTTTGAAAATCTTGTTTTCTTCTGAGAGCGATCCCGTTAGATTTGTCTATCTTCTAATAAGCATTTCTGCATGTGTAGAATGTAAACCTAATGAAATCATTTTAAATACATCCGCTGAGAGTCTTTGGTGAAAAGTATTGAAATTTCACACAAAGCAGCAACAGAGAGTTGAATTCCACTTCATATAAGAAAATAGATGCACTTTTCTAGCATTCATGTACAGATGGGAAATTGATTTTTTTTGTTGCTTTCTCTTTTGAAAATAGCGAAATGCATTTCACTAACATTTTGTTGCTGTTCAGCAAACAGTTTGAAAAGGAACAATCTTCTGCACAAAAGGTTACAGTTTTTCATGCAGATCATGCCAATGTCAACCCTGGACATTCATCAAAAGGCTAGGCTGACACTAGTATTACATTGGTGGAGATCAGCTCAATGACCCAAGCCCTATATTTATCTTTTCACTGCTTATTCAACAGACAATCCTTGCTCATGTAGGTCATGAAGACAGGTTTCAGGTTCCCATTTGTCCTTGCAGACAATTTTGGTTCTAGAAGAGTTGGGGGCAAGGGGTGGGAATTGAAACTCGTCTGTGGGGAGAATCCTCATTCCCTTAGTGGAACGTAGTCTAATGTCTGAATAGTGCAGGCCTAATCTTGCTCACCAATAGAAATAAATTCAACATACTACACCAATCAAACATTGGTATAATTCATAATGAAAGATCAGAACATCTTAAGAGCAACAAATTGTAATTAACAACTCTGGTCATCTATTTGTACCAGAATTTTTCACTTTGTGTTCTAGCGATTCATATTTCCTCAACTGAGCTTTTTAAGAATAATATTTCATAGCATGAGCCACAGGAAAAACATAAAACTTACAAAACTTGCATTTACACAGACCCTTTTTTGTAAAATAAAATTTCAAAGCCCTTTTCAAATTCAGTGTTGAACACCACTTGGGAAATACAAAGTAAAGGCATTGACTGCATGCATGATCTGAGATTTTTTAAAAAAAAAGTATTTTACAAGTACAAGGCTGGTGTCATACCAGTGGTACATTGTTGTTGTACTGTAGTGGGTCACATTACTACAGTAGTGGGAGTGATGCATTGTCAAAGGTGGTGCTATCTTTCATAAGAGGTCCTGCCTGCTTTTCCAGCTGGATGTTAAAGAAGCACGTGACACTATTCAACAAGGGAGTTTCTCCTTGCACCCTAGCCAATAATCCTCCAGATTAATTAATAATGATTTATTTTGTGGTTGACAGGTCAGCTACCAGTGGCAACTTGACTGTCATTGTTAAGTGTTATGATATTGCAACTTAAAGCGTTTTAAAAGTGAGTTATTTCTTGAATGACTATGGTACACTAATATGTACCATATTCCTTTGCGCTGGCACAACTACAGAAAATGAACTGTTCCTTAAATCTTTGCAAGACAGAAAATGAAAGGGCTCCAGTGAACAAGATAAGAATAAAATTCCTGAGTCAACTTTCGTTGGTAGTCTTTATTCTCAAATAGGGACAATGGTTTACAGGTTTTCGAGTTTCAACAGCAGCACAAAACAGTCTGGAGAAAAAATATCCAGTTGTGATTTTATCACACTGAAGCATCACCAGTAAATAATTATTCACTACACATGGAATTGGATTACTTTTCAAAATGAAAAAAATACATTTTTAATTCTTTTAGGAGTGAAACTTGTTTGTGTGTCAAATTTTTCAACTTTTAACCCTGCTTTCCACTCACCACAAAAAACACACACACCCCACTGATAACAGATATGGGTCAAAGTCAATTTCCTTCTCACCCATCTGGGACACACACATCTGAAGAAAATATCTTATCCAGGCAAAGAATTTTAATGCATTTTTCACAATGTCTCTTTGAATGTTCGTGCATCTAAACAAACCTGAACTAGACATGACTTGCCAAATGAACATCAGATTTAGCTGTATTTTATAGTAATTCTCAAAAAACAGTATTACTCTCGGTATTAAGAGCACATTTATAAATTCTCTCTCAAAAAAAGAGGAACTGTATAAAAATACTATGATGATTGTGGGTCAGGGCAAACAATTGGTGATACTCAGCCCTGCAGATCCTGAAGGTCCCAGTTGGTGCCTTTCAGCCAGCCATCAAGCTGAGTGAAAGGAACACAAGTCAAAGTTTCCCCTCTATGAAAGTCCTTTCCAGAGATGGCCTGATCAACAATGGACGGCACCTGTTGAACATGGTACAATATCCTAGCAAAGGTCATTACACTGGAGTTGGGGAGGGGAGAGAAAGGAACCTCCAAAATATTTCTCTTCATGGTTCTGAGATATAGAAAAGATCTACTGTATTTTCAAAAAATCTTTTAAGAATGTTCCTACTTTTGAGTGTAAAAGGATATAAACATCCTGTTTCTAATTGATTGCTGAGCATGCCGTTACATTTTACACATGCTTGTCTTGTCAGGATTGGAACCAAATTTATCTGACGAGAACTTCAGGTGTGGTCCTGAAAATGTAAATGAAGAGATCAACAACAATGACATGGAAACTGCCCAGCCTGCTCAGTAGATACATACAAACAGTCAATGGGATCACACCATCCTTTAAAAGACTGATGCCTTGATATTACATTTATCTACAACTTTAACTAGGGCTTGTGTACTTTAACAAACCTTTCCCCAGTAGTTTTTGACTGAAGTTGCAATTTGGGTGTTCAGCGTGTGATTACATTGTGCATGTGTTATTTCATCAAAACAAGTTATAAACCCATTTTTTTTTACAAAAGTTCTTGTTTACTACTTTTCAATTCCATGCATTCCAGCTGGAGTTTTTGAAATTAAGCATCTAATTTTTTNAATTAAAAGTCATGAATCCAATAAGCTGCGTCCTCTTCACAGTGAGGATGATAGCAATACTATGTTCACACTGAAACTGGAATGTTCGAGACCAGTTCTTTTCCTGCATTGACTGCATTCATAAACACACACGTGCACAAGAAAGTCTTGAACAAAACCTCACTAACAAAGTTTGATAGTACTCTTTGTTTGGCTTGTTTCAGAGAAATGGAAGTGCTGTGCATTTCCCCTCCATTAGATTTTAATATTTATTTTCAACTGTGCTGCTGTCCATTTATGTGAACCAAATACTCTAATGTTTGGGGCACTCTCACTTTTTTTCCTCGCCCCCTCCACCCACCCAAAAAGTGGGTTTGAACGGCAAACCAGAAACTCTAGGGATGAACATAAATCTGGACTGGAACTTTTAAAAAAAAATGTAAAAAAAAAAACAACCACCAGCCATTGCCCCTTTCTTAGGAGGCAGCAAATCAAGCCAACAAGCAACTCTTGCCAGTTTAATGGTTCAGAGTTTCTATAAAATAAGCATGCTATGGATCAAACCCAACAAAGGTGTTCTCAAAATCTAAACAATCTACATTTCTTACAATACAATGAACTGTTTGCCAGGGTGCAACTGACCAGTTGACACATCTCCACAAAGTACAACTAGTACTTTGATAATACTCTGATTCCAGTTGGCTCACTGATAACCTTTTATAACAGCTCCAGTCTTCAATTTTGTTTTTAAGAGCCAGATATACTGGGCTGCAGGAGAAATTGTACAATCTCCTCCATTGCCTGATAACAATTAAGATGAAGAGGCCAATATAACACCCAAAGAACCAACCTGTAACCCACTATTATACAGCTACAAACAGCAGCGCTCTCACCAAGAGTTTGATTCCATGGGTCACTCCATAATAAATTCATTCCCACCGCCCATTTGCCCTTCATTGAGCTCATTCTGGTACCAAATGCAGTCCTGTTTAGGGAGAACAAAACTATTGCCAACATTCTGCTTTTTAAACGTGCAGAAAAGTAGGATACAAATTTGTTCAAGAAGACAACTAACTAGGCTCCCATGGTTAAAATCTTTATCACAAAACGTTTCATCCAATGGTATTATCTCCTTCCTGCCCTATCATTTTTCCCCAGTCAAAGACTGCCCAATTGATCACATTTATTGAAAAGGTTAATTTTCCAGATTACTCATTTCCGTGGCCCTTATACTATTGCTGATCCCATCAGGGTCACATACTCTCATTTTCAGATTCCATTTTCCTGTAATGCAGGGGGGGGTTTTCCCCCCTCACCTGTGGGTTACAATGTGATATTTTCCTCACCACAAGTGCACAGATTCTTCTCAATCCTGACCCCCAACGTAACTGACTGCTCGAACGTAATTTGGCAAAGAGTTGTTACAAGCTTCTGCAGTTTATATTTTTCTAAATAAAAAACTATTATTACCAAGTGACTATTATTGCTGCTTACCACTGTGCATCCTCCATATTTCATTTTGCAGTGGTCACCATTAGATGGATGTTTATTTAATACATTAAATGATCATCAAGTTTTGCATTTCTACTTTAAAAATTGAGAAAAACACTCCTGGTACACAGTGTAAAAATGACAGGCAACAAATCAATTTTGGATTCACTTTCCACAAGGTGAGCAAGTTAATATCTCAAGAACACTACAACACAGTACTATTGGGGCTCTTGCTACTGTGTGGACTCATTTCACAAATTTAATCTTTCATGTATCATAGTGGTTTCTCTTCTATTTTGGAAATCTTTCCCATAGCAAAAAGTAATGTGTGCGTATTATCCTTGTATTCACATTGCAGTTTAATACGTGCAACATGTACAATAACCATTGGGTTTGTTCCCTTCTCATCTTATGTGAGTGCAAGAACCCATTAAGGTGAGCTGAGCTGTGTTGAGCTGCACATGGTTCAACTGGATCAAGCTGCACACGAGTCAACTGTGAACATAGCATTACTGATTAGTTGCAGGGAAGCCAGGTAGGATATGAATGCTGGTATGAGGTGGCAGTGTGTGCGACATAATAGTTGCTAAAGTTTGCATCACTGACATATGGAGCAGGCTGGTAATAGCAGGTGACATTGGTGACATTGGGTATGATGTTCTGCTCTGCCAGCACCCTGAGAGCCAAGAGGCTGATTAGGTTAAGAGTCTGACGTCTTTCGTGTCCCATCAGACAGACAGTACTCTCATTCACAACATTGCGCAGGATCATCAGGTAGTCGTATTTGCTTTTCTCTTCCCCAATGAAGTGGTTTTGGAGGTAGACTTCCATTTTTCTCTGCTGTTCAGTAATGTCTGGAAAATCGATAAAGAAACGAGAACACATATACCGCTCCAGCGTTTTGATCTCCTCTGCACTGGCTGGCTTGAAGTCTCTGACCAGAAGGTTGCAGTATTTCAGCAGTCCCCCTCCTCGGATTTCCTCTGGGGCCTTGGTTGCTATCAGAGTGTTCCTGAGGTGATCCAAGGCTTCCTCAAAGTTCCCATACACACTCTCTCCTATCACTGTTGGGTGGAAATGCTCGTTCATTGGGTTCTCAGAGTAGTCATAGTAAAATAAAAGGGAGTCCAAAATGATCTGGAAGGAATCCACACTGAACTCAAATTGACGACGAAGGGAATCCACAAATTTCAGTTCCACATTCTTCCCATTATTGTTGGAGAGTGAGATCAAGCTCCAGTGGTCTGTGTCTGTGCAGACTTTCACCATTTTCTGCACGTAGACCTCTTTGAGTGTAAGAGGGGTGATTCTTTCCTTATTGACCCCTTCAGGAAGAAACTCCAAAAGACATCCCAACACCACATCCTTTACCAACTGGAACTCCATTTCCCCTGGTAGATCAACCCCAAAAATTAAATCCAAATCTTTATAGCTCAAGCCATTGTCCTTGACCAGGACGTGGCTGGCTGCTGACCCATTAAGACGGATATCCCGTACAACAATTCCACGTTCCAAAAGCCTGGTCCTCACAGTCTTAACCACATCTTTGAGCCTGACCTCCAAAGTGGGAAAATTCCCACGGCCATGAATAAAGACCACATCAGTCAGGACATCGTTCAGTCTGCTCACTTGCTCCCAACTCAGCACATTGGTGGCTTTACTTTCTGCCATGTTGAATCTTCAAACGTTAGTCAACTGGAAGGGAGGGGGGAGAAAAAAAAACGACAATTAAACCAGTTTTTTTTAAACTAAACCAATCATACTTTCGTAGACGAATTGATACTTGGTCTATTCAAAGCGTACATGGTCCTAATAACCTCAGTAAAGACACCACAAGTGCCAAACCTTGATTTAATTTGGTATCCTTATTTCAAACTTTAACTTGAACGTCATAACAGAGCAATGTAGTGAAAAAGATTGATTAATAACACTGATTTAATAGTTGATTATCAACAATTCCAATAGCAAGCATGCTATCAACAACCATGAGGCCATTAGGTTATTGTGGAGTTTACTTAGTGTACAGAGCTTAACAGAGCAGAATCTCTTGTTTACCCCAGTCAGGTTAATATGTTACATAATGCAATATAAACATCAAGTGCCCAGTCAACCCTACTCAGGCTCATGTCAGGGCTACTTTCAAATAATATAGATAGACACTCAACCGTTGCAGTTTTCCCTTTCAACTATAAATCAGCCTAAATGGTGTCCACATTTGAAAGCATCTCTCAATTTAATGCAGTACATAACAACTTTAATTTATACAGTGCCCCTCATGCAGGGTAGAATCCCAGAGGGCTAGCTATTGCTTGAGTGACCCAAGCAAGTAAACTAGGCTCAATGTGTTAATTCATCAACTGGACTTTTGAACCGCAGTTTAAAAAAAAACTGCCTTGGTTAAAGCGTGAACTCCCGAGAATGCCACTAACTTATCTGAACGAGTATTGTAAAGAAATTCTTAGACAACTTGGTAAAGAACTGCTAAAACAAGGAAGCTGAAGCAAAATTACTGGCCTGTCAAAATTACTGGTCTCAGTAAAGTATTGACTGGACACCCATGCACTCCTTAGCTAGAGAATGCATGATGCTGAGCAGAGAAAACTTTGCACCAAACATTTCCTACTTTTCCTGTGCAGAACAATTATAATTGTGAACAAAACTCGACATCAAAAAATGATCTTATTAAAATGCTTTCAGGGAGGCATAACACATTAATGATCTCAATTTAACACATTTGTTGCATCGATGCAAGAATTTTGATATAGATCCAGCTGTCATAGGAGATTCTCAATAGATCTAGAAGTGCTTTAACACTTTCGGAATTACTGGAAGTCACTTAGATCACAGTTGCATTGATCTGTGGAGAGTCCAGACACAAATTACGTGAATTTGAAAGCTCAAATGTTTGAACACATCCATTTGCTGGACAATTTTTTTGATGTAGGATTCTGGGCAAAATTAAAGTACACATTTTGTACATCAAATCATCCAGTCCATTTTTAAATCAATGAGCCATTTCAAAATGGAAATAAATATTTTGGTTAAAATACCTTCAAAGGATTTAAGGGAGTGGGAGGGAGAGAAAAAATAACTTAAAAGCAAGCAAATGCCTGACAGAATGAGGTGGTAATACATTGAGTACACATATCCAGGTAGGAATGTCCAAGATTTCAAAAGTAATCTTATTGAAAGCTACATACTGCAATGTTGTTCCTTTTGCAACTACAGTAATGAATTATCCCATTAAAAAAATATCTTCCATGTGAAGTATCAAACCCAATGCTACGACAATTAATTTGGCTGCAATGTGTAACGACCTTCATGAATTACATAATTAGTACCAATTAATTGTTTCAAAGCTACAGCTGTCACAGAATTTTTCCACCACAAGTCTGAACTAAATAAATTTGCCCATTAAATGGTCCCTATTAAAATGCCCATTAACCATTACAAGGATATTAAAATTTCACAAGTTCAACTTCAAGCCAACTTTTTTTTAAAAAATGATTTTATTGCTGACCTCGCATCCTTGCCCCTGGATCCCTGCCAAAAGCATTACTAAGGATAGAGGGCAGAGTTATCCAATAGAAAGTTCAGCTGTTTGTACATTCGCATATACCAGAAACTTGTCGACTTGCCATTACAGAGGTGCATCAATTTTGGGTATGGATTAAAATACAAGAAAAAAAGGGTATATTTTGACCTTAACATCACATCTGCCTGCCAACTTTGAATCTCTCAGCCTAGACATTGTCCCCCCTCCCCAATGACTTTCACCAATGGGCTTACCATGCCTTCCTTGCTGACCCCTCCACACCCAGAGCTTGCTTTTTAGTCTCGGCGTACGCATTTTGGCTGCAGCCACCGACCTGAGCTGCTTCCCCACAATACCCCCCACCCCTGTCCTCTACCCTCACTTACTCCCGCTCAGGCCTCCTCTCCCAATGCCCTCCCCGACTCCTATCCCTGCTCAACTGTCCCACTGCCTCCCTGTGCTCCAGCCTGTGAATCCTCCGGCGGGCCCACTGTGGGAGTCACCACCTGCTGTCTAACAGCAGCCAGTCTGACTGCCCTATCCCCTACTCTAACCGCAAGACTCACCAGTCCGCGACCACAGGGGCCAACCTCTCCTCCCTGATCCAAATCCCTACCCTCCCTATCAGTCGCGCCCCCTCCCCCACTTTCCGTCACAACGGTCCCCTCCGCATCGGTCTACAAAACGTCCGTTCCCTCGTCAACAAAACACACACCATCCATGACCTCATTGGCGATGAATACATTGACATCCTCATCCTCACTGAAACCTGGATCACTCCAAATGAGACCTTCCCCCTGACTGAGGCCACACCACCCAGCTACACCTTCCATCACACCCCTCGACCTAATTGCCGTGTGGCAGGGTGGCTCTCAACTCCCAGTCTCCACTCAGCCTATCCCCTTACTCCTCTGGAACTTTCCTCTCCTTTGAGTACCTTACCCTCTATCATCCCTCCAACCTTTCCCTCAAATCTTTGTTCTACTCCAAGACAATCTTGGAGGCCAAGGACGACCCCTGGCTCCTCTTCTCCATCACAAACTGACTCCTCCGCCCAACCTCTCACACCTCACCCATCCTCACCTCAAATTCCAACTGTGAGGCGATGCTGGACTTCCTCGCATCCAAAGTTGCAGGAATCCATTCAGCTGCCTCTGCATCTGCTACTCCGTCCCCATCTCCTCCTCCCACCCCAGCCTCTATCCACCCCTCCCTCCTCACCTTTGAATCCATCTCCCCTTCCTCTCTCATCATCACCATAACCCATATGAAACCCACCACCTGCTCCCTCGACTCCATCCTTACCCCCCTCCTTACCTCCCAGCTCCACCTACTTGCCCCTCTTCTCACTGACATAGTTAACCTCTCCCTGTCCTCTGGTACTGTTCTCACCCCTTTAAAAACTGTTATCATCACTCATATCCTTAAAAAACCCTCCCTGGACCCTTCTCTACTCCCTAACTACAGCCCCATCTCAAACTTCTTCTTCAAGGTCCTGGAATGAGTTGTTGCTTCTCAGCTTTGCTCCTTCCTCTCCCACCATTCCCTTCTCGAACCCCTCCAATCGGGCTTCCATGTGCCCACAGCACAGAAACTGCTCTGGTCAAAGTGACAAATGACATTCTGTCCACCTGCGACCAGGGCTCCCTCTGCCTCCTCGTTCTCTGCTGCTTTCGACATCAACCACTCTATCCTCATCCACCGCCTCACCCCTCAGCTCAACGGCTCTGTCCCTGATTGGTTCAAATTGTACCTCTCACAACGCCTGCACTTCATCTCCTCAAACAGCTTCTCTTCTAGTCCCTGCACCATAACATGCGGTGTTCCTCAGGGCTCTGTCCTTGGTCCCCTCCTCTTCAATATCTATATGCTCCCTCTTGGTGACATCATCCACAGACATGGAGTCAGCTTCCAAATGTATGCGGATGACACCCAACTCTACCGCTCTGCCTCCACCCTTGACTCCAGGAGCACTGCTGTTCTGAAAGAATATCTGTCAGACATCAAGTCCTGGATGAGAACTAACTTTCTTCAGTTGAAAGTCAACAAGACCGAGGCTCTCCTGATTGGCTCCCGTCAGCGCCTCCACACCTCAGGCGCTGACAGCATCACCATCCATGGTTGCTCACTCCACCTTGCTAAGCCAGTCCAGAACCTTGGGGTCTTGTTTGACCCTCAACTATCCTTTCTACCCCACATCTGCCTTCCCCCACCTCCGCAACGTTGCCCAGCTCTGACACTGTCTCACACCTCAGCTCGGCTCAGTAACTGTCTGTCCAGAGCCTTGGGATGTCCTCCCGATATGAAAGGCACTATACAAATCTAATTTTGTTGCTGTTAACAATACGCAATTGTTATCAAAATGACATTAATGAAACTGCAACAATCTACTGTAGGTACTGTCTGACCATTAGTAAAATTTCACACATGCCCATCAAATATTAGAATGTGCTGATATAAGTTGGTTTAGGGTTAGTTACGCTCATTAATTTCTCGTACACACCTGCAATGCACAGGCATCAGTTAAAAGGCTTGCATGCAGCTTTGACCCTACGAAAGGTTACAAATGCAATCCATCAAGGTGCTTTGTCATTCACACCCACCCAAAATAGCAAATTTAGTTAACCACTGAAACATCAAAATCAACAAATTAAATGTTTAAAATACAGAATAGGTGTGGCACAGACACAGAGGCGACCTTTTCTAGTTATCACCCAGTCTACATTTAATGAGAGCAGAACCACAGGCGTGTTAGGCCTCGAATTCTGATCAACAGATATAAATGATCTTGCAGAGTTTTTTTTACTGGCAATATTATGTACAGCACAGTCAAGCTACATACTCAGCTGGGGTTGCAGTCAACTATGTAGAAAATATCAAAGTAATTTCAATTAATTTAAAAACAAATCAGCCACAGAAACTATATCAAGCTTCATACACTGCTTATCATGCAAAGTAGATTGTGCAGAGGACACCCGACAAACAGCAATGAAGGTTGCTGGAAACATTTGCCTGATCAGAGGGTTCCATACTTTGGAGAGAGAGAAAAAAATATTCTCCCCACCTGAAGTCAAAGACTTTTCCTTTCCTCTTGCCAATTATATAAATTTAAATTTTTCCTCCTGTGATCACCATAAACCAAACATCAAATTGTAACTTA